CATTATCATCATCAATTTACAGTTTTATGTTAAAGAACCAGCTACAAAACAGAAGCAACTGTGTGAAAAACTCAGATTTCATGTATAAAAATAAGGCTCAGAAGGCCTCTACATGTAGCAGAATCCTAAAATATAACTCAAGAGACTCAAAAAAAAGAAAGCTAAAAGTAATCAACACTTAAAATACATTTTAAGTTCTGCTGCCCCTCATAAAAACAGCATGAAACCTCAAAGGGGCTAGGAAGCCTCAAAAAAAGATATGGACTGCTTTCTTTTAATAAAAAACTAAGCTGTATGCATGAAACCCATTTCACTTTAAAACACCTCAGTGTTTTCTTTCTTTACGAAATTTCATCATTTTGACTATACCTTTATGAGGCTCACCTGCTTTTGGTTGCTTGGACAATGTCCTATTGAGATGGTTTTTCATAGCACAACTTAAGAGCAATCAAATTGCAGCCTCACTTTTCTGACTAGCTCAAAATACCAGTACCATATTTTTTAATGTGAACAGTCAATTTAACAGCAGTCTCTTCCCCATCCTTCTGCTTTGTGGTCCACACATTTTTTTGGATGCATACACCTCTCTTCACAACTGCTTGTTCTCTTATTTCCTGCCCAATCAGCCAGGTCTGACAGCAACACAACTGCTACTTGACATGACTGGAGGACTGGAATTTGCCTGGAGAAAATCTGCAAATGTAAGGCTGCTTTCTTTTTGGTTGAGTTTGGTTTTGGGTTTTTTTTTTTGGTTTTTTTTTTTGGTTTTTTGGGGTTTTTTTAATTACTCCAATTCAGATCTTAAATCAGCATTTAAAAAGACATGAAGGCTGCCAAGTACTGAAGGTAGCAAACAACTCAGATTTTCTGAAAGCATCTTGTGGCAGCTGCAAGTTTGTGTTATATTACTTAGAGCAGTAATTGCCTTTGGAAATTATATTTTCCTGCTTGTTCAAAAGATTTACCATGAGTAACCATAAAAATTCAAAATTTAACTCAGTAAGTGCCAACACTTGCAAGCAGACATAGAGGATATGTCTGGCAAAAAATAAGCAGAAATGGAAATCTACCATCAGATAATGCACATCATTTCTTTGACAGTATACTTTGATATCCCTCAGAACACATATGCTCCAGTGGTTCTAAAACTCTCTAAACAACACAGTTTGAAAACTCTTCCCTGTCATAGGAGATCTCTCTCAGAAACAAGTACACCTTGCTATCCAATTTAGATTTTAATTTCTGTGTCTTCATCTTTCTTGTTATATTCCCCAGGTACTCCTCCTTTTTGGTATTTTCAGCTCATATTTAGTCAAGCTCTAAATAGTGTGGATTTTTTTACAGTGACATAACAATTTTCCACCATCCTTTATGTAAGAAAATCTGATTTGCCAAATTATTTTGACAATAGGTCACTTAATAGGTCTGGTGTCAAGAGGTGTCCATGAACTATTTGTCTTTCGAAACTGCCTGCAGAAGAGGAATTTTCAGATGTGGATTATTGTAACAATGAGCCAAAGGGCCCCTGAGACACAGTCACCAGCATTTGCAAGAAAGACTATTCAAAGGTGGCTGGATTTCAAGGGAATGTGACCAGCATTTAAAATCAATTTATATTTTTTGCTACTATTTGGCTAGTAGAGTTTCTTCTCCTCTCCTGGCTTTTATTGCTTTTTTTCCTTCCATGCTGCAGTACCCACACAATGCTCACAGACTGAAGTGAGGATGGGGATGTCACTCCCTGCTCCCATGAAAAGTAGTGTAGTGCATTTCAGTCTTTTTAAGCACTTTGCATCACTCTTCCAGTAGTAATTCCATTAAAAAAATACATCAGCATCTCCTCCAGATGTGGCCAGATTTAGTGTGCTTGCAGAGTACTTAAGTGGCAATGCAGTATCTGCAGCACCCTTCCACCTCCATTGGGTACCACTGTGTCACAGATAAATGACAGCTCACCCTTCCTGCAGCCCTCTGAGAGCCCAGGACTCAGCACTGAGATGCACAGAGAGACAAGAGAACACACAGTTCCACAAGAGTGGAATGCAGCTTGCTTAATTATAAATGTCTATCCTATGACTTAAGTACCTGACAGCTAGGTACTCATGATTGCCACTGGAGACCTGGTCAATACAGCTCGTGTAGTTTGGGCTACAGCTCGTCTTAACAAGGGTAGGGTGAGGCAAATCATACCCTAAACACTGGTTACTGTAACAAATGCACCTGCACTTCTTAATTCACACACAGGTGTCATCCAAAACAGTGGAGCAACACTGAGTATTTTGGATTTAAAAAACAACATACCTCACAAATTGATAAATAGCAACACCTGAAAGGTTAACACTGAAGGTAGAAGAAAATAAGACTTATCTCATTGAGACCATCTGCTGTAGCAATCAAAGCAGTTAGAACTCATTTGCTTGCAGGAGCCCATAGAGAATATCATAAAGTAACTAGAGTCAAAATAAATTAGTTTATTTTGTTCTGCATGACCAAAACCCATCCCACTTAGTTTTACCTACCTAAAGAAAAGCCTGGAACAGACTGTGCTCTTTCTCCATAAACAAAACTGAGAGAGGTTGGTCCAAAGGAACACTCCAATACCACCTAAGATCTGGTTTGTTCTCTAAATGTCTCTACCTTGCATTAGTGACTAAAAGAAAACCAGGCTTCAACAAAGATGTTGGCACATGAACTTCAAACAGACCCCAGTAAACAAAGTATTAAAGAAAGTATTAACAATCTCAGGTTCCACTTGGTTCTCCCCCAAAACCCTCAAACATGACAGTAATGAAAAGCAACAAAACAGCTCACACTCAGAGCAGGATTTACTGTGGTTCCACTGTTAAAGACCACTCTTATTTATTCTTCCTAAAGGGGATCTACAATTGCACCTTGGAATCCCTGCTGTGAGAAGCAAACCTTTCCTTCTACTGTGACACAGTACCGACCCTGAACTGTAGGGCATTCTGGCAGACTGTGTTCAATATTTCTGAGAGTCCACTGCAGTGTTTTTCTCATTCATTACTGGCAATCAAGCCATTTGAAAGCAAATGAGAGATGAAGAGCTAAACATTCATTTGGAGAGAGCTGAGATAATCAAAAGAATAATAGTCTTGTCTCAGATTTTGCATATGATTTTTCAACACTAAGAAACATAAAATTGATGTGTAATACATCTAATTAATATCAAACTAATATAAAAATATCAAATAATACCAACTACTAATATTAAAACTAATATCTAAAATAATGTAAATTACATTTAGAAAGTCAATCACCAATGAAAATTTACTCTGAAAAATAGGTAATATCCATGGTTTTTGTTCACAAAACAACAGAAACACTCAGCAAAAAAACCTGACAGATGTGTTAGCTTAAAACTGACAATACAGAATACACCATTACTGCACAATGCATAGGGCGTGCTATTCTAAAAGACAACTATGTATTTTGACAGGTGACTGTACTAGGAAAGTCTGGCAATACTGACATCAGAGGAAAACCAGTAAGGAGAGATTAATCAAATAGTATGAGTATATTCCCCATTGATACCACAGAACTCACAACCTCTATTCTACATGACAATAAGGAAATATTGAAAGGCAAAGAAATGGAGAAATCATAAAGTAGAAATGCCACAAGATGAACAGAAAGTGAGGCACACAAATAAAATAATGTTTTCAAGAACAGGTAAGTGGATACTCTGCAGAGTCACAGATTTAATGTCCTAATTCTAGATCATGCAACCAAACATTTCCTTCACACCCTGTATCTACTTCAGCCTACTGGGGTGTTGGACTTCTCAACAAACAGGTTGGAAAAAAATAATCTGACTAACCGACTAGTGCTACTTCCAAATTAGCAGCCAAAGTGTGTTCATAACACATTCAAAACAAACAAGCCTACACATTACCCAGAAATTTTTCCCATGTTAACAATTCCAGATTCCAAACCAAATACACAACAACTAAACCAAACTTATGGATATCAAAAAGTAACACTTTAAACAACTCATGCTCCATACGAAACCTAAATTATTTTCTCAGCATATGAAAGTCATCAAGATTGCAGTCAAGCAGAAAACATAACCATGTACCTCCAACACATTTCAGTAATTTTACCCAGGATCATACTACACAAGGAAACCTGATCTGAGCCAGCAGTGTAGACCTTAAGTTAACAGAATGGTCGCTTATTTAAGCTGTGCTAGAAATTTCTGTCAGAACCATACAGCACTTCTGCATACTACATAAGACATATTCTGCAGGCTAAATAAAATGTATTTACATTATTTCATTAAATTACAAAAATACTAATTTTTCAAGATGAAGGATACACCTACCCCAAAATAAAAGAATGCCTTTGCAAATGGGTCAACAGATAGCTTTCCTTCATCTTTTATGCTACCTCCAAAGTACTTCAGAATAAGACATTTTATCATGGTGAAAAAATGCTCTCTAACATCATACATTGCTGTTGTTTCACCTTTGTCTAATTCATTTTTCCCTAGCACTTGAGAAAACACTCTTTTTTCATTTAAGCAAGGCATGGGAAGTAAGAAAAATGACCTATAAAGAATCAAACTGCTAATTATTCTAAAAGAAACACAGAATGAATATAGGAAAAAAAGTACTAAAAGACTGCTGTATGGAGTCTGCTTTGTGCTTACTATGATAGAACTTGAAAGATATCTACGCTTATTTTACCTAGCTGCAGTAAACGTGAACAATTACCTAAAGTCATATGACAAAAAGTTACAAATTTCAAGTTATTAGCTTGTCATCAAATATTTCATACTAACAAGCTCAGGTGCTTCCACTGAATAGAATTCAGCTTCCAAGCTCTCAAATGCTATAGTTTGAAACACTTACTTTTCTGAAAACTCTTTCAGCTATGCATCCAAACAGTCAAATATATCTCTGACTTCAAAAGGGGCAAGGGATTCTTCTACAAGCCAGCCACACAGAAAAAGGATGGTTGCCACAGGTCCAAATCCTTACCTTTCTGTAGACTATCATGTTTGGAGAACTCTCCTCTGGGTCAGCAGTTTCCGCACTACTCGGATCAGTGGGTGCTTGGGCCATGTTTGCCTCTCGTCGCTCAGACTGCAAGGACAGGAGCAAAAGTCAGCATCACTCCAGGCTGCAACGGAGCGTGGTAAGGACATGCATCTGCCTCCCAGGCAGACATACAAGGATGGTACAGAGGGAATCACACTCCATGGGTCTTCACCTCACGCAGGATTTTATCACACTGTGTCAGAACTGATAGGTTTGTGGGATAACATCCCAAGAACAAGGACCACCAAGTCACACACAGCTGTGGTTTGGGTCATCACATACACACATTTCTCCCACAGTTCTGAACTTTTATCATAAGCCCTTATTCAACAGAAGAATATCCAATTAATACTTCACACACTTCCCTTCCTCACTATATAGCACAAACAGCCTTGACTTTTCTAGATGCTTTGAGGTATCTACAAAGAAAAAGCCAAGGCACCTTGCTGTGAGGCAGAGTGAAACCCCACTGTAACAGGCGGGTGCAGCAGACTGTCAGGCACACTGACAGTTCTCACCTGCAGACACTCCAAGCCCCTTCCAGCTCTCCACAACCCCGGAGCAGCAGCCAAGAACCAGGGAGGCATAGCTGCTTGCTCAGAGTAAACACCTTCCCTCACCTCTTCTCATGACACAGCCAGCAAGAGGCAACAGGATACAGGCAGACAACCACACATAATACTCCTTATCTTCTAGAAGCACAGAACTGGAACTGCTGCCTCATCTCCTCCAGGTCATGCCAGCCTTGAGGCAAGTTTTATTAAAAAAAAAAAAAAAATGAAAAAAAGAAAAGAAAAAAGAAAAAAAGGGACCTGGTGCAGAGTCAAATGCTATATTTTTTCTTCCACCAGCACATTTGACAAGTAACATTTAAATTAGAGGCTGCTGTGGAGCCGTGTGGTGACCTTTCCTAACCTAAGAAGTAACATTGCCTTGTACAGACATTGGCATTAAAACTGTCTGACAAGTTCAATTTCTTTAACATTGAAAGTACTGAAATATCCCATCTCAACCTATTTCATTAAAAACTGAGAACAAAAAACAAACAAACAAACAAAAAAAAACCCCACTATGTTCACACGAGCATAACCTATGTGTTAATTTCTAAAACACAGCTCACCATTAAACAGTCTCCCTTATTTAAGGAAAAAGATACTTTCCTATTCCTTCCTTTACCCCCTTTCACATTGCCAGAGGCAACAACGTGCCCCAGCATACAATATACATACATAGCATACAATTATATGTATAATACATCCTTGAGTCACTCTAGCTGTCAGTTACCAGCTCCCAAGGACAAGTCAAGAGGCTAGAATCAGACAAGCTCAGACTACATCCCAGCTCTGTCCTTTCTCAGCAGTGAAAAGGCTACTGCGGTAACATGGCATCCATCACTAGAGCCAGAAGCAGCTGACATACCCCCTTTAAGAAAACATACAAGAAACCAAGGTTAAATAATCTACATCAATCCAGAGGCATTAATTTTTTTTTTTATAATGTATGCATGCACACACACAAGTGGGCAGAAATGCATATGTACATACATAAACCAATTTGGAAATTCAGTAATACAGTTCAAGGTTGAGTTAAACAATATATATAGATCACCCTTTAAAGGCATGTTCAGACCAGTTTAGACACTATTTTATATTTAAAGATAATACATTTAATAAATAAAAATAAATTTATTTTAAGCCCTATTAAACCTCATGTCTTCCTAGAAGCCCAAACACTACACTGTTGTGCCAGGCTGTCAGCTAGACAGGAAACGAAATAAATTCTCTAAGTAAAATTATTAGATGTAGAAACAATTAAACAGCACAAATGATGAAGGGTAAAGCATTTTCAAATTACAGCACTTCAAATTATTTACGCAAATGTGCATTTTCACAATACTTCTTGGTCATGATTTCAAGGCACTGAAGAATTAGGCTCTAGGTTATCCTCACTCAATTGAATGGAGCAGGAACTGGGTTGAGATTTTATGTAACTTTCTGAAGCAAATTACAAAGCAGAGTTGAAAGCATATGTCAAGTCACACAAGTTTCAGCTTCACCTGCAGTATATAAAGACCACATTCGCCACTAACATTATGTGAGATTTTATATGCATGCTTTAAAAGAAAACAATTGCAACTTTCAATTCAGAACCGCTCTTAAAAGAACAAAATGACAATTTCTAACTGAAAAACCCTCTGCAGCATTACTTACCTGTGCTTCACTCATTGCATTATTCACTTTGAACGTCCACATTTACAAATTCTGTTGTTCTTGTTATACTGTCAGCTCACTTGATCTTTTTTGGTACTTCCAGATTTTCCCCATAGCACGTCTTCAAGCTTTTCATCTACTCCAGTACAACAAGACGATAACATCATGTACAAGATGCAGTAGTAGCTGGGATGCTGTTCACAGTGACATTGAGGGAGCCACTAACTTTGAAGATCTACACAAGCCTAACACGGAGATCTACATAACATCTACATGAGGTAATCAATGCAAGTGAACCAATCAGTTGTTGGAAGCCATAAATTGGCAAGTGTGATTCCCATGAGTCCCCAGCATCTGCTGCTGGATTTCAGCCAGGAACAGCAGGAGCAGAGCCACCTTTGCAAGAGTGGCAGCAGGATGTACATCTCAGAGAGCAAGGCTGGAGACAAGATAGGACTGAGGTGCAGTGTGAAGCAGAGACAAGTGTGGGCATACCCTCCACATAGCCCAGGCACTGCTGCTGCTGCTGTGATGAGCCTTAGCAGGCCAAGCCAGGGCACCTGAGGAATTGTGAGGACTCTGACCATTCTCCAATTTTCTTCTCTTTCCTTTACACCCTTTTTAAAAGCACAAAACTCATTCTCATTGGTATTCTACAAGAAAAACTACAGACAAAATAAGACAGTGATATGACACAGGTATGTTCTTGGCTCTTCAAGATGAAAGCACAGCAATGCTGGGTCCCATGGATTCTACTACACCTGTGCTTTTTAACTTATAGGAGTTGAATGGAGCTCAGCACCCAGTGATGCAGGACTGTTTCACAAAACCACAGAATGGCTAGTGTTGAAAGAGACCACTGGAGGTCATCTGGTCCAACCTTCCTTCTCACATAGGGCTTCCTACAGCACATTACTCAGGATTGAGTACTGACAGCTTTTGAGTATCTCCAAAAGTGAGAGAGACTCTGCAACCTCTGCGGGCAACTGTTCCAGTGCATGCTCACCCGCACAGTAAAGAAGTTCTTCCTCATGTTCAGGTGGAGCTTCCAAGGCAGCAGTTTCTGCCCATTGCCTCTTGTCCTATTGCTTTGGCACACCAGAGAAGAGCCTGGCTCCACCTTCTTGGTACCCTCCCTTCGGATACTTAAATACATTGATGAGGTCCTCTCTCACTTGTCTCTCCTTGAGGCTGAACAGGCCCAGCTCCCTCAGTCTTTCCTAACAAAGAGATGCTCAGTCCCTTCCATCTTTGTAGCCCTTTGCTGGCCTTGCTCCAGGAGCGCAATGTCTCTCTTATACTGAGGAGTCCATAACGGGACACAGCAGTCCAGATTTGGCCTCACCAGGGCTGAGTAGAGGGGAAAGATCACCTCCCTGGACCTTCTGGCAGTGTTCTTCTTAATGCAGCTCAGGATGTCATTGTCCTTCTTGCTCACAAGGGCACTGCTGGCTCATGGACAGCTTGTCCACTAGGATCTCCCTATCCCTCTCCAGAGAGCTGCCTGCTGCAAACACAAATGAGACTCCCCACGGTCAAAGCACAGCTTTTTTTACCCTACTACAATGTTAACATGCTGCATTTGCAACCCTTTAATTAATGTAATTGTATGTAAAAAGTCCACATCTGATTTGCACAGTCCTCTCTTAAGAAACGAGCCAAAAAAACCTACACAGTTTTTTCCTCACTTTCAGCCCAGTCTACTCCAGATGCAAGCAGGAAGTCAATCATACAATACTACACAGAGCGAAAACAGTTTGCCCCCTGAATCTTTCTCTAAACACATGTTTATGATGTATCAGCCAGAAGTGAATCCAGCTTAGCCTTATAAAGAAATTTCAGCTACACTTAGCTGAGAATAGTGAAAACAAAGATTTTATGCAGGTTGTTTTTTGTTTTTTGGGTTTTTTTTTACTTTATTTTAAATAAGCCTCTAGCTTAATTAAGACAGCCTCCAGCTAAGAATCTCATCAGTTACTATCTGAACAGTGCTGTCAGCTCCTCCCTCCACTGGGTAGTTTGCTGTATTATCAGGGCTAACTCTTCCCAGCCTGAAGCCACACACCAGCAATCTAAATCCAAATGCATGTCTTCAAAAAAATAAATCATCTCTAAATTTCAAATATCATGTTCAAAGACGCTGTTTTCCCACAGCTGTTTTTCTGACAATAGCCATGCTTGCAGCAATCTAGACTCCTCAGCACCAAAAGTGATAAAAATTGAAAACCATTTGTGCTAACCATTCTCTCACTCTGCCACACACAAGGACAAAATCAGCAGTCTTTAACTTCTTCTTTATGGATAAGATGGCCTATTAAGCCTTTGAAAAATATTACCAAAAATATGCTAAAAAGAGAGGGTACATTCTCCTCTCATTGATTTTTTTTTTCCTTTTTATGTTTTATTCTTTATTATAGAGCACTTCTGCTTCTCCCCTAAGAAACATAAGCACACTGGATTAGACAGGCAGCTGCTGACAAAATGCACTGAATCACAGTAAGAGTTCTCTCTCTCGCTCTTATCTGATCAGGCTCCTCACTCTCCCAAAAACCAGAAGCCACAGAGATAAGGGTCCCATATGTCATGAAAGGATGAGTGAACTTTAAGGTGGAATAACCAATTAAAAATATGCTCTGAAAATCAAGAAAATAATTTTTTCCAGTTTATCTTTTTAGAGTTTCTTATACAGAACTGTAATTAGAAAATTTCAAGGAAAACCACCTTTACATTTTAATCCATAAATACTGCCAGCATTTAATCTCTGTGTATGTGTAAATTCAATGAAAGCATCTGAACAGTAAATTAAGAGATTCCCCTTACTGTTCCCAAACCTTG